TCCGGGCTCAGTGGCACATGCCTATAATCCTAGCACTTTGGGAGGCCAAGGTGGGCGGATCACTTGAGGTCAGGAGTTTGAGACCAATCTGGCCAAAATGGTGAAACCCCGTCAAACTAAAAATACAACAACAACAAAAATTAGCTGGGTGTGGCGGCGGGTGTCGGTAATCCCAGTTACTCATGAGGCTGAGGCAGGAGAATCACTTCAACACGGGAGGCGGAGGTCGCAGTGAGCTGAGATCGCGGGGCTGCACTCCAGCCTGGGCGACAGAGCAAGACTCCCTATCAAAACAACAACAACAACAACAACAACAACAACAACAAACTTTGGATCGGGACCAAAAGGAAGTAAAGTACACTTGGAAGAGGGCCAGGGGGCGACTTGAGAGATCAGGTGCACTGTTTGACCTTTGACTTGGGGTTTTATCTGTTTATCTATATCTGTTGACACAGTTTCAGGGTTTTACATCCCTTCTCCCCTGATTCTTCCCTGGGGGTGGGCTGTCCACATGTGCCGTGGTCTGCTAGCAGTTGGGCGGTGAGCATGCAGTGTGTTTACTGGAGTTGTGCGCATGCTCACTTGAGGCATTCTTCCCCTACCAGGTGAATGTCCCCAGAAGTTAAACTCCACCATTTTGCCTCTTAGTGTGCATGCTTGAGCCCACTCTCCCAACTCCTGAGATCTTACTGGGAAGCTGCTGATCACCAGTTTCAAGTTTTTTCTATTAGGAGACTGCCTTTCCCTGGTGCAGGCTGTGACCCATTATTAGAGACAGTTTAACAACTGCCTGATAGTTGGTGACATTACTGGTGGGGGGGGTGGGGGTCGAGCCCTCTCCTGCCCCTGCTCATGCCTGACTAGTTACCTGTAACAATAGGAACTCACGTACTTGTGACACAAATTTAAATTAGTGCAACCTCTTTGGATAACAAATTGTGATGATCTATAAAGTTGGAAATGTACACCCTCTACAAGCCAAGAGTTTCATCCCTGGGTATGTAATTGACAGAAATGCACACATGGCTGGTTACAGTGGTTCATGCCTGTAATCTCAGAACTTTAGGAGGCTGAGGCGGGAGGATTGCTTGATCCCAGGAATTCGAAACCAGCCTGGGCAACATGGCAAAATCTCCCCTCTACAAAAAAATACAAAAATTAGTCAGGCATGGTGGTGCGTGCCTGTAGTCTCAGCTGCTCAAGAGGCTGAGTGGGGAGGAGCAATTGAACCCAGAAGGTCAAGGTTGCAAGGAGCTGTGATCATGCCACTGCACCCTTGCCTGGGTGACAGAGTAAGACCCTGTCTCAAAAAAAAAAAAAAAAAAAGAAGAATAAGAAGAAATGCATGCACATGGATGTCCAAGCCAGAAAAACAAACCTGGAGACAATGGGAAATAATTTAAATGTCCAGCAACAGTAGAATGTTGTAAATAAATTATGTAATAATGTGTAAATAAATTATAGAATACTTTAAAGGTAATCACATGGTTCTATTTCCTAAAGTTGGTGGATCCCACAACACAGGTGTTTGTTTCACTCTTCCATCAAGAAGTCTTTCCAACTCCTCTGTCCCTTCCCTTGACCAGAAGTCAGAGGTGGACAAGCGCTTAAAGATCAGGAACTCACCCCTCGGCTTCACAAACAAGGGGATGAGGTAAGGAGACACATGTCAGGGCTTCCCTTGACACCCTCCTCTTTGTCTGCATAGGATGCCCTCCTCTTTTCCTTCTCAGTACCCATCTGTCAACATCCTCTTCATCTTCTAAGGCCCTTCCTCTGAATCCTTAGAGATCACCCTGGTCAATTTACCTTTTGAGAAACCAGAAGTTCAGAGAGGTTGAAGGATGAGCTTAAGGCATGCAGTCACTGAGAGGCAGCCTTGGCTCTCTGGAATCTGTGCTCTCTTTATCAGCAACATCCAGAGCTAATTTATGTCTGTAGCCATAGCACACTTGAAGACAGTTACTTATAAACAGGAGGTGCTCAGTAAATGCCACCTCCTCCCTCCGGGTCTTTACTGAGTTTAAACAAGAGCTTTATAAAACTATGGCTACTTTGATGCTGCTAACATAAAAATGACCGGCAGATGGCAGCATTTAGCTTTCCCAGCTCTCAACTTTGCAATTGCCAGTTTAAGGCGAGAAAAGTTGGTTTTTCTTTTCCGTTCTCCAGACTCCGCTTGTTGTAAGTACATGCCAAATGCCCACTGCTCCCATTGGAAACTTCATCCTACTACCCGCTTGCTGAAAAAGCATCTTGAGCATCTGCAGAAGCTCTGGTTTGAGACCTGGTGACAGGAGGGGATACATGGACATGCAATGAGAACATGAACGCGGTTTTTTTGTTTTTTTTTTGAGATGGAGTCTCACTCTGTCACCCAGACTGCAGTAGAGTGGTGCAATCTCAGCTCACTGCAACCTACGCCTTGTGAGTTCAAGCGATTCTTCTGCCTCAGCCTCCTGCGTAGCTGAGATTACAGGCGCCTGACACTATGCCTGGCTAATTTTTTGTATTTTTAGTAGAGATGAGGTTTCACCATGTTGGTCAGACTGGTCTTGAACTCCTGACCCTCAGGCGATCCGCCTACCTTGGCCTCCCAAAGTGCTGGGATTACAGGCGTGAGCGGCCGTGCCTGGCCAAACATGAAAGTTTTTCCTCTCCATAGAGCCCAGTGAAATGCTGATTCCCACTACAGCCCTGGGATACCATGGGCTGCAAAGGCATCTTAGGGCTCTGCTTTTCAGCTGGGGAAACAGACTCCAAAAGGCAAGGTGATGAGCTCCAATTCACAGCAAGTTCAGATTTTCTGACTGGCAACCCTGTGCACTTTCCTGTGTTAGTTTTCGAAGGTGAAATCTACCCTGAAGGCATGTTCCACCTATAATATGCGCAGAAAGGAGGCCAGAAAGTGTTTTAAAAACCAAATGCTTCATCATAAATAATAAAGGAAAAGCAGAGAAAAGAGTGTTGGGACTCAGAGAAGCAGACTGCACAATTTTCAGGGCTGGGGTGTGTGAGAAATTACCGAGTCAGAAAAGAACTGTTGAAAACAGGGGAGCTCTCGCCCTTAAAAACAGTCAAGATATGCACAAGAAAAGGAGCAATGGTGGAAATTCTAGATCAGGATGGCAAATGTATGGCTTGGGGCTGCTACTGTCTTTCACCTTCCCCTGTTGCCCGGTCCCCATGCCCATGACAGACATCAGTAATCAATCATGGGATTCTTTTCCCTTGAGCTCAGGGCCTGACCAGAATCCACTGTGCACAGTGCGCCAGGCTTCTTCTACCAACTCGTAGGAGATGGCACCAGAGGAAGTCTGTTGCTCCTCCTCACTCTGCCCTATTGCCTCCCTGGTGGCCACAATTTATTGTGCACTTACTGTGTGCCAGGAGTTGTGCTGAGCTCCTTACACATACTTTCCATTTAATTCACTTACCACATTCTCAGGAGTTAGGCATCCTTCTGGTTTTACACGTAAGGAAAATGGGGCACAGAGGTGTTAAAAGCTTCATAATGGCAGTGTCAAGATTCAAATCCAAGCCCACCTGTCTCCAAAGCCCAGCCTGGGAAACTGCTAGATAGGTGGGATAAGCCAGTATGGACGAAGACCTGTGGTTTGGGCCTTGTTTAGACCTGAAGATCAAGACTAACTAGACCGCAGTGGAGCCTGAGGTCCAGAGAACGGAGGACACTAAAGATGCTTTTGTTTGTTCATTCATTCCTCAACACACGTTTATTAAGTCCCTGCTACATGCCAGACACCTTGTAGATCCTGGGGGGATAGTGGTCAAACAAGAGAGACAGAACACCGCACCCTCAATCAGGGGAGACTAACAAGCCAGTCAAATGTGTGATATGTCAGGTGATGTATGTGCTAAGGGGAAAAATGCAGGCTGGGGAGTGGTGGAGAGAGTCACATAGAGCTATATGCGGACTCAGGCCTAGGAGATAAGGGAAGGGATGACTCAGGGGCCTGAGCTTCTTGGAGTGACTGATGTATATGGAGATAAAGGCCCTAAGGAGATGGGTCCTGATGCTCTCAGGGAAAATAATGATGGTGGGGGTTGTCTGTGGTGGGGGAGGAAGGAGGGATTGCCAGGAACAGTTGGAGTTCCAGGGGTCTTCTTCACTGTGACAATGACAATGTGGCCGAGGGAGAGGGAGTCTTACCCAGAATACCCCCAGCTCCTGGGCTCTCTCCTTGCTCTGGCAGATGTGGGATGGAGGCAGAAAGTCCCACTCATGCGTCATGCATTTTTTGAGCATCTAATGAAATAAATTTCCCCAGGTGCAGTGACTCAAGCCTATAATCTCAGCACTTTGGGAGGCTGAGGCAGGTGGGTCCCCTGAGGCCAGGAGTTTGAGGCCAACCTGGCCAACATGGTGAAACCCCATCTCTACTAAAAATACAAAAATTAGCTGGGTGTGGTGGCATGAGCCTGTAGTCCTAGTTACTCGGGAGCCTGAGGCAGGAGAATTGCTTGACTCTGGGAGGTGGAGGTTTCAGTAAGCCGAGATCACTCCACTTCACTCCAGCCTGGGCAACAGAGTGAGACTCGGTCCTAAAATAAAATAAAATAAAATAAAATAAAAAGACTGGGCATGGTGGCTCATGCCTGTAATCCTAGCATTTTGGAAGGCCGAGCCGGGTGGATCACCTGAGGTCAGGAGTTCGAGACCAGCCTGACCTACATGGTGAAACCTCATCTCTACTAAAAATACAAAAATTAGCTGGGTGTGGTGGCAGACACCTGTAATCCCAGCTACTCAGGAGGCTGAAGCAAGAGAATTGCTTGAACCCAGGAGGCGGAGGTTGCAGTGAGCTGAGATGGTGCCATTGTACTTCAGCCTGGGCGACAAGAGTGAAACTCCATCTCAAAAATAAATTTAAAAAATAAATAAATAATAAATTTCATTCCTCTGCCCACTGCCAGTATCCAGCCCCACTGATGAGGTTGGGGTGAGGTGGGAGGTAACTTTTCAGCACCTGGGCCCTTACATCCAGCAGGACCATGAACAGGGACTTTCTGTGCCAGGAACAATAGAAAATATGGCAACTGGTGTTTGCCACTATCAACGAGGAACTTGGAGTTTCGCTGAAGGAGGAAGACTGTAACCGCCCAAGGGGTTTACCTTGCCTGCTGCCTCGACAGAGCCGATTGATCAAGACAGGGAATTGCAGTAGAAAAAGAGTAATTCACGCAGAGCCGGCTGTGCGGGAGACTGGAGTCTTATTATCACTCAAATCAGTCTCCTTGAGAATTTGGGAAGCCAAATTTTTAAGCATAACTTGGTGGGGGGAAGCCAGTGAGCCAGGGGTATTGATTGGTCAGGGATGAAATCATAGGGAGTCGAAGCTGTCTTCTTGCACTGAGTCAGCTCCTGGGTAGGGGCCGCAAGATCAGACGAGCCAGTTTCTCCATCTGGGTGGTACCAGCTGATCCATCAAGTGCAGGGTCTGCAAAATGTCTCAAACAGTGATCTTGGGAGCAGTTTAGGGAGGGTCAGAATCTTGCAGCCTCCAGCTGCGTGACTCCTAAACCATAATTTCTAATCCTGTGCCTAATGTTAGTCTAGTCCCCAGACAAGAAGCAGGTCTGCTTTGGGAAAGGGCTGTTACCATCTTTATTTAAACTATAACTACAAACTAAGTTTCTCCCAAAGTTAGTTCAGCCTATGCCCAGGAATGAACAAAGACAGCTTGGAGGTTAGAAGCAAGATGGAGTCGGTTAAGTTAGCTTTCTTTCACTGTCTCAGTCCTGATTTTGCAGAGGTGAAGGCAGTTTCAAAATAACTATCCATGAGTTTGTAAAATAATCCAGGATGCCTGTTGTTCATAGCACATAGCCTACTATGTGTCTAAGCTGATAATCAGCTAGACTTTGGAGAGAGAAAAATGCCAAAAGAAAATGGCCGAGGATTGCTGCTGGAGGTGTCATGGACATTAATACTGCTTTACAAGAAGTGCTGAAGACCACCCTCAGCCACGATGGCCTAGCATGTGGAATTCATGAAGCTTCCAAAGCCTTAGACAAGTGTCAAGCCCACCTTTGTGTGCTTGCATCCAACTGTAATAAGCCTATGTATGTCAAGTTGGTGGAGACCCTTTGTGCTGAACACCAAATCAACCTAATCAAGGGTGACGACAACAAGAAACTAGGGGAATGGGAAGGCCCCTGTACAACTGACAGAGAGGGGAAATCCTGTAAAGTGGTTGGTTGCAGTTGTGTACTAGTTAAGGACTATGGAAGGAGTCTCAGGCCAAGGATGTCATCGAAGAGTACTTCAAATGCAAGAAATGAAGAAATAAATCTTTGCCTCACACATAGAAAGAAAAGAAAAAAGGAAGGAAGAAAGGAAGGAAAGAAGGAAGGAAGGAAAGAAGGAAGGAAGGAAGGAAGGAAGGAAGGAAGGAAGGAAGGTAGGGAAAATGTTTCTGAAGAGGCCAACCCATATCCCCTCCAAAGTGCGTCAAGGGAGTCCCTGCAGGCAGAGTCAAGATTCTCTTCAGGAGGAAAGCTGAGAGTTCCCTAACAAGGCAATGAATGGGTAACTGATTCCCCACAATTCCACATCATAAAATGCAATGGCAATACAAATTAGCCCAGAAAAAATGTAAAGCAGGCATGTAACCATATATCCTGTTTGGCTACACATCCACATATGTGTGTGCACACACACACACACCCCTGCGGCACGTCTAATTTTGAGCAATAAACCCTGTTAAAACTGGTTGTGAAATGTACACCCAAAGTAACTAAATAAGATGATTTATTGTTTATTATTTTTTCCTATAAATCTCCCTAAAGTTGGAGGATTTCCATTAAAATGATTATTTCAGATCCAGATGTGGTCGCCCTTGTTTCTGGAGGTCATTAGATAGCAGTATTCATTGTCTACTAAAACTACTCCTAGTCCATGATACCCACATCAGGTTATTTGCATTCAAGAGAATGCTTGGCCTTCTGTGCTCCAGTGCAGAGCAGGGTGGCAGGGCTCTACCATATGCAACAACCTGCAGGGCACAGACACTGACCCTTTGGAGCTGATGCTGGTCAGTGGCCTGCACTGTGCCTAACAGTTGTGTGGGTCAGTAGGAAAGCAAACTAATGGGCTATCTCAGTGTGGTTTCAAGTTAAAAATAAAAGAATACAGGACACATCTTTGTTTTATCCAACTGGAAATTACAAGCAGGAGAGTTCATATTTTTGCTTATATATTGTGTCAAAGGCTAGAAGAGGATCAACAAAAGTCACAAACCATTTAATATGATTTTTGGCAGGTGGTGTCACAAGATCATATAAATTATAGCAGATGACTGTGTTCCCAGCCTGTGAGCTATGAATATAGGTCAGGCTTGCAAATTATTAAGCAAAGCCATGCAAATGGATATTGCCTGCACATGCTAGAATAGGACTAACTAGTTCTGGTTTGGCAGAGATTTTTCTTATTTTAGTACTTGTCTTAATCCATTAAGTGTTGCTATAGAAGAATACCTGAGGCTGGGGAATTTATAAAGAAAAGAGGTTTATTTGGCTCACAGTTCTGCAGGCTGGGAAGTTCAAAAACTATGGTGTCAGCATCTGCTCAGATTCTGATGGGGGCTTTTTGTGCTATGTCATAACATGGTGGAAAAGTTCAATCATGAGTGCGATGTGGGAAGAGACAAAACCCGAGGGGCATCCTGGCTTTACAACAACCCATTCCTTCAGGAACATTGCCATGAGAACTAAATCCAGTCTCATGAGAGAGCTGGAGTTCAACAAGTCATTCATGAGGGATCTGCCCCCATGACCCAAACACCTCCCACCAGGCACACCTCCCGACACTGCTACATTGGGGATCAAAGTTCAACAGGAGTTTTGGTGGGGACAAACTCAAACCATAGTAGTACTGACTGTCCCATGTCCTGTGAAACGCCTTGGTCCCTGGCAAGTCAGGAAGGTTGATCACCCTTGCTGGAGGCCTTCCTCCCAGGTGGTGACCCCTACCTGTGTATTCACATTTGGGGATGAGGCACAAAACACTGACTGCAATCTCTGCAGGGGAGCAGGGCTTGTTGACTGATGGAGCTCACCACAGAGTGTCTGAGCATCCGGTCAGCTCCTCATTGAGGAAACCAACACACATCAGCCACTGGAGGCCCTTTGTCTGGGATGCTCCTTTTCTCCACAAATGAATCCTCCGGACCCTGGCCTGTAGATTGTAAGTTAGGTTGCTCATTCTCTGAGGACTGGGGTCCTATCATTCAATATGTAGATGGTGGCTTAATCCTTGTGTTTAAACTTGACCTTACCTCCTTCTCCCAAATCTGTGTGGCTCAGACCTCCCATTCTACAGTTTCTTCAGTTCAATTTATATGACAAATAACTCTCCTTTCTCCCCTGGGTGGAGGGGACCCCTGGCCGAAGAGGGTAGAGAAAGTGGCCTAGGGTTTCCACTTATGCCCCTGTTTTCCTGTTTACAGACTCACACTGTACCTCACCTCTTAAGTGTGGATCCTTTCTGGGACTCTGGGGGTGAATTAGGGAGAATCCGTTGGCTTCTTCTTATTTTCTCCCTCTGGGGCATCCAAGTTAGAACACGCACCATTCTGCCAAATTACCACTCCTTTGTATACTATCTCCAAAATACGTGTCGAAATTCTTGATTGCTGTTTTCTCCTCTCTTATCCCTATTGTTCTTGAAGGATTTTACCTGTGCTCTTCCTCTACTGTCATTTTATTAGGATTTGGGGAAGGAGAGGAAATAAACTTGTGTTGCAAACCAGCCGTGTTTCACTGGACATCCATTTCTCTAGCAGTCTCTCTTTTGGTAACACCCATTGGGTGGATGTTGGCACTTCTGGAACTATCTTCCCTGTATATTATCTTTTCTTTTATTTTCTACTTTCCATTTATTTATCCCAGTCTGCTGTTTTCAGGGAGGATTCCAATCTTTCAGTTCACTAATTAGCTCTTCAGCTGCACACATTGCACTATATAGCTCATCCACTCAGGTGGTTTTATTTGTTTAAACTATGAATATATTTTTTGTTTTTTATTCCCATGATCAGTAATATAAAATGAACACATTGTTCATCTCTAACATTCCTAATTGATTCTTTTCCATCCTTTCTTACTTAAGAATATTCATTATACTTACTTCAAAGCACATTACTGGTTGTCTGTTTGTTCGGTTTAATCTTCAGATCTGGAGCCAGACAGCTGAGGTTAATCTGTGGCTTCTCATGTTAAGCTATGTGACTTTGGACGAAGTTACTTAATCACTTTCACTTGACACTTTAGTGTCACATAAAATCGTCCCACTTTATGTTTGCCATAGTGCCTGACACATAAATGCTCAGCAAATATTAGCTACAGTTATTATGTTTCTTCATGGTGGTGCTTCTCAAATGATATTTTTTGACAGTGAACTCATCTTTACACATGAGATTTTCTGCAAGAAATCTGCTGGCCTAGCTTGCTGTGAGGGAGGGCTGGAAATCACTGGATGAGCTTGTGCTCCATGTTGCTTTCAAGGAGAGTGCAGAACAGGCAGAGGCACCATCAGGTGGATGAGCCGTGCTCTCACAGCTGGTCTTTGGGGTGTGGCTGCTACTTAACTCTTCCTTGGCTTTGCCAGCCTATGGGGCCCTGACCTGTCTTTCATTCCCTTACACAGCTCATACCAGGAGACAGTCACTGCTGTCGTGGTCATCTTGTCCGCTGGGGTGGGGTTGAGGGAGATATTCAGGGTCAATTCATCTAGCTCCTTCCATGGGCGTAATTGTCTAACCCTCTTGTTCCCGTCTTGTTGCAAGCATTCACCACCTCTGGGTGTGGAATGCCTTGTTGTTGCTCCCATTATTGTAGTATACACTGTAGTATATACATGCAAGGATACCTACAGTATGTCCTTGGCCGCTGCTCATGAGCTGGGTTGCAGTATCAAATCAGATCCTGTCTGCATCTGGCTTCTCAGAAATGTGTCAGTGCTTCTGATTCTCTGAACATTTTCTGTTATCTTTTTGAG